TCCTGAGATGAAAGTGCGTGACAGACGCACACACAGACACACGGACACACAAACAACCTCTCGTCAGTATGCGTTTTTCGCACTGCATTGCTGCAAAAAACGCATAAAAATTAGATGAACAGGGATGTTTTGGTCCATTAATTCATATAAATCACAGTTGGACCTCGTCAGTACGACGGTAAGATGAAACAGTTTTTTATGAGGAAATGGGTTATGATTTCAAAAGGTAAGAAGGGAAAAAATTTGAAAAATAATAAAAAGCAGGAGCAAGAAGTGCAGACTGACCGGATGGTATCTAATTTTTTTTCACTTTTGCGTTTCTCAGTTATTATTTACAGATACTGTACGCATTCTGCAACTCTTTTTATAAGCATAAAAGAGAGAGGATGACTCATGTGTTTCTAGACATAGAGAAATTAGGAACGGTAGTAAGTGGTGTGACAAAAAAAATGTGTTGCGCTTCTGAGTTGGCAAATGGAAACCACAGGACTGCTTGTACTATCGTTTTCGTAGTAAGTCGTAAATAATAATTATGGTGTTGTCAATTTTGTTGGCAACCCCAGTACACTGTTTCAGCGTCTTGCAGGTTGCATTGCGTTTATTGGAGCAGCGGTCTGGTTCCTAACGCGACCATCAACTCTCGTACAGTACGAGGATAAAATTGTGTTTGGCACCTATTTTGTTGGTGCAGTGGCCTGTTTAGGACTGTCTTTTGCTTTTCACACTGTGCAGTGCCATTCTGTTGGCGTCGGTAAACTGTTTAGCAAGTAAGTTTTTTCTTAGGAATAATAAATCTGAAATTCGCTTATCCGATTTCGCCGGTGTAGTTTGGGTCTGCTTAGTTGCTTTATTTGATTACATATTAAAACTGTTAAGCATGGGAACAAAGAACTTTTAAATTCTCCTCTTGTAGTTAGACAAAAGCAACTGAAACATCCGAGCAGTCTTTGCCTTTGGTTGCATTTCAGATTGGATTATACAGGTATTAGTTTACTTATTGTCGGTTCTTTCATCCCCTGGATTTATTACGGCTTCTATTGTCGTCTTCTGCCCATGATTATTTATATATCAATGATTTCGGTTCTCGGTATCGCTGCAGTTATCGTCTCGCTCTGGGACAAATTTGCTCAGCCTCGTTATAGACCTCTGCGCGCTGCTATTTTTATTGCTATGGGTTTGAGTAGTACGTTAAGGCATTGTTTATTTACAGATTTTTCTGCCATTGATTGTTTCGTAGCTGTGGTAGGTTTTTAGAACTCATGAAGTCAGTTGGGCTGTAATTTAATATTGGTTTTGTCAGATGAACAAATCTTAAATTTTCTTAGGTATTGTGCCAGCTCTGCACATTATGATAAGTGATGGCATATCATACCTCATCAATGAAGCTGCATTACTATGGCTGGTTTTAATGGGAATCTTATACATATTAGGCGCCGTTTTATATGCTACACGTACGCCTGAAAGGTGCTTCCCTGGAAAGTGTGATTTGTGGGTATGTTTTTGGGGACATTTTTTAATATCTAATTCTTTCTTTTTCGGATACTGCTTACAATATCAGGATTTTTTGAAAGTCTCAAATTTTAAAGATTTGGAAGTGAATTTTCAGTTTCATGTGTTTTTTCGTCTTTCAGTTCCAATCACATCAGCTTTTTCATATGTTTGTGGTGGCAGCTGCTATTGTTCATTTCCATGGTGTCAGCAAAACTGCCGTAAAACGGTTGGAGCAAGGCTCATGTGCCGAACAAATGCTTGAGCAATACGGCTACGAGAGTCCTCATCCTCAGTTGCTTTCAAAAGCAGATTGAATGTAATTCATCCAATAAAGATTTGAATGTGCTGCGTTGGCTCTGTGCAGTTTATTTTGGTGATATCCAGTGCTAGTGCTACTGAATTTTTAAAAACTCTTGTCTGTGATTAGCAAGCTACGTGCAGTACAGTTAGATTGTCCTACATCTTAGAAACAATCTTTTGGGGTAAATTTCATCCAACAGATTCCTTGTTCTTCCTTAACGGGTCCAATAGAAATAAAAGGACACTTTTCAGCAGGATATGGTCGGCTTACCACACGGTTGCGCTGCTTTTATTCTAATTGCCCAGAAAGCCTCGATGGTGGCTGTCTTTCCTTGGAAACTATTCTCCGAGCTTGATCTTGCTCCTGCTGAACTCCCAATTTTTTTCTTGCGGACGTTTGAGGCTCAAATAAAGACATTCCATCGGTATGTATGTGACTTCTGGCTTTCGTTCAAGGGGTGAGGAACGTTTTTTGTTGTGATTTTGATTCTGACTACATTTTTAGAGAGCATGCTTAGAGCACTGGTGCAACGGTCTGTTCGTTCGGCGGCTGTTGCTGTGGCACGAAACACTCCAGCCGTTGCTGCTCATAAACCAGCTATTATATGCACAACACCTATGACGCTAAACAAATTGCTTCTGGAGCAGGTAGAGCTGAATAAGTTCTTGTGACCGTCAGTTGCTTGGCAAAGTTGTTGGAGGTGCGCTCTGTTCCTTGGGAGTGGATGTCCACTGTCTGTGCTAACTCACTTGCTAGCAATTTCTCTTTATCGGTATTGGACACAGTGATTGTGTTTCGGTTAACAGTTCAGTGGCACTACTGACAGCTTTGTTAGCAGCAGCTGAATATTTCAATAAAAATGATCTCCGGAACTAAAAGAACATGCCTTTATGGCTAGTAGTGAGTGAAGTGTTGTGGAAGGAGGTAACAGTTGTGTTTTATAGCAGTAAGACTCTGGGTTCTTTCCAGTCCTTTTCAACCCAAGTTATTTCCAGGTACGCTTTGCAGCTCACATACATCTCACAATGAAGGTGGTCGAGCAGAGAATTATGCTTGTTCTAAGTTTGTATGATAAGGTAATGATCGTTATTTGCATTCCTTAACAGTAGTAATTATGCGTTTTTGCCGTGCAGCGCTAGAGCGCTGCAACAGTGTGTGCGTGTGTGTGTGTGTGTATGTTTGTGTGTGTGTGTGTGTTTGTGTGTGTGCGTGTGCGGTGTGTGTGTGTGTGTTTGTGTGTCCGGGTATTTCAACTCGCTAACCACGCAAGCTTTGAAGCTGAAATTTTGCCAGTGTTTTCCCCAGCCAAGTACCACCCAAGACCGCGGCTTTAACCCTCACGCACGTCTGGGCGCCGCGTGCGAGCACGTGAAGGTTTTGGCGCGAAAATCGCCAACTCGGCAACGAGAAAAGCTAGAAAGCTGAAGTCTTGGGAGAATTTTCCCTACCCATGTGTGACAAAAAGATTTCAAATTCTGCTGCCCAGGAGTGCCCTGGGCTTACGTGCGGGCACGTGAAAATTTTGGCGGGAAAATTCATAACTCGAGAATGAGGAAAGCTAGAAAGTTGAAACTTTAAGAGAATGTTCCATACTCATGCATGATCAAGGGTTTTCAAATTCAGCTCCTTAGGACCGTCAGGGGCTCACGTACGGGCACGTGAAAATTTTGGCGCGAAAATCACTAACCCGAGAACGGGAAAAGCTAGAAAGCTAAAACTTTAAGGGGATGTTCCCTACTCACGTACGAGCAAAATCAGGTTTAGAAGCGCCCGAGCCCACATACGAGCCCGTGGAAATTTTGGCGCGAAAATTATTAACCCGGGAACGGGAAAAGCTAGAAAGCTGTAACTTTAGGGTAATGTTTCCTACCCATGTATGACCGAAAGATTTTAAATTCAGCTGCTTAAAACCGTCCAGTACTCATGTATGGACACGCGAAAATTTTGATGGGAAAACTGCTAACTTAGGAACGGGAAAAGCCGAAGGCTTTAATTTTAAGGGAATGTTTCCTGCTCATGTGCAACTAAAATATTTTAAACTTGACTCTTCTTGTGTGGCCTTTTTTGCGGACCAGCAACTTTCCGTTTGTCGGGTCACTGAAGTCGACACCTGCAGCTGACACACCACATAGTTATACAGTTAACTTCCCGAACTTCGAGGGTCAGTATTTCACAGGGTTAGCTGCTTTGATTCCTTGCGGTTTTGCTACGGCACGAAAAGTGCAAAAACGCATAATCGCACCCGCCCGCTTGGTGTGTTCCAGTCTGGGTATATTTTATTATCCCGTTTCCAGAAATATATCCGATCTTGGCGTTCTATTTTCTTGTAAGATTTGTGTATAACTTCAAAATGAGCTATGTTTTTTGTCGCGCTTTTGCAGATTGATCCAAAAAAGCTGACGCTTGATTCGGATTTTTTCGAGGATTTGGGACTGGACTCGTTGGATTTTGTGGAAGTCATTATGGCAATAGAGGACGAATTTCATTTCGAGATCCCTGATGGCGATTCAGATAATATGAGAACTCCTCGAGATATTTATCAATATATTTGTGATAGGAAAGATATCTACGAATAGCTGCGTAGTCTTGTTTTGTTTTGAAATCTTTCGCTTTATCATAAAAGTTACAAATGATGGTGACTTTCAATTTTTTACAGAACGGTGAAGAGAGCTTCCAGTCTTCTCGGGTGCGAATATTTAATTTCTTGAAATTAATCGAAGTTTATGGAAGTCTCTGCAGAAGAGAGGTATTGCCAGCCACAAATAGGCCTTTATGCGCAGTCGGTTTCTTGTAACAAGGAATGTACACTAAATTTGACATTCCTTAGTGAACTGCCTTGTTTTCTATTTAATTCATTATGAGTATGTGATTCTCTCGGAAAGGGGACAGTAACATCATTTTTTGTTCCTTTCAGGATTTTTTTTGAGCTGACTTTGCAAAGTCGTATATCGCAAATAGCTTGACTGGCAGTACATGCCATCAGCAACCACCCGTTGGCAGGGCTATAGTTGGCTCTCTCGAAGGGTTGGAAGTCAAAGTGAGGGCAGATTAGTGGTATGTGGTACCGGTTTACTATCAAAACGAATGATTGGTTCGTAGGGGGATTAATTTTTCCATTTACGAAGTCGAGCACACCTGCCGCATGAGAGTGGTGCTTACCAGTACATGATGTTCGTTCTGTATATATGATCAGTGTGATTACATTTGTATGAACAATTGCTGATAGTATGCTCGAAGAGTTTTGTTCCACAATAGGAAGTGTTACTAACAGTGCTAATTTTAATGTGACTGAGGGCATTTGGTCTGTTGCTCTCAGTGTTTTTTCTTCATTGGTCAATTCTCGCATGTTGTAGTTCAAATTTTTAATTTGCAAATAAACAGCATAGTCCCATTTGTCAGCATAATCCCATCCATATTTCTGATTTGTAAATCTGTCCTGCTTGCTTTCATTATTTTCCACACATTAAAATAAACATCTGTGCAAATCAGGCAACTTTTTTATTAGTTCACTCACTTTTTTACGACAAATTTAAATCCTCCGTCCAGGCCTGGCTTTTTTCTCTGTATCCATATCACTAGGAGCTGTCCGTAGAAGTTTTAAATTTACTATATTAAGTGAAGAGAGGCGGTCTGGCTTATTTCTGCGATTGTCCATGGTTTGAATTTAATAGTACAAAAAAAAGGACAGATGCCCGATCGACACAGCAAGAGGTATGTGTGTATGTATTTGTGTGTATGTGTGTAGGTATGTGTTGTGTGCGAGTGTGTGTGCGTGTGTTTATATATGTATGTGTGTATGTGTTTATTATGTTTGTAATTGTGTGTGTAAATTTCATGCAGCTGGAGAATGACGGTTTGCAGGCTTTGGTCAGTTATGAGCAGTTTCAACTGTAGCTTCTTGTTGGTAAATATTTAAGGTAATAAGTGCAGGGTTAACTAGCAGCCAGTGTTCTAATTTCGTTGTTAATGGAAGACTTGTTTTTTGAAGCTTCGATCTGCCGGCCGACAAGATGGTACGCGCTTATGAATGCTCATGTGTATGTTTGAGTATTTGTGCATATGAATGAGTGTGTACGTATGCATGTGTGTATGTACGTACGTGTGTATGTATTTATAGATGTATATGTGTGCATATATGTATGTATGGGTGTATATATAAAAACACGTATAAACACATATGCACACACACGAACATATACAAATATATACATACGTATTATATACATATACCCATAAATATATACACACATACATGTATACATACAAACATATATATATATATATATATATATATATATATATATATATGTATGTTGATGTGTTGGGAATTGAAATGGAAGATGAGGACGGACACGCAGATGTGATGTGGTGACAATTCTTGGAAGAGAGAGACGGAAGGCTTCTACTCCCGACGTATATAAGCCATACATGTATGCATTGAGCAGCTAGCTAGCCCTACCTCATTCTCCCACCTCTTCTATATCGATGCCGAATCGTCCACACTCTCGCTCCTTATTCCTGACACGGCATATAACCTAATTACATATGTTCTTTCAGTGCTTCCTCTTTTCACTTGTGAATGCATTTGTTAATGCCTTTTCCAGTACTACTTATTGTTATCGGCAATTTTGCCATGCAACACGCTTATTGCCTATAGACACTGCAGCTTCCGACCTACTCTTCGTGCACAGATACATTGTCCTTCCGAGAAATCTTTCAGATTCAGACTTCGGAATTCAGTACTGCTCAGTTATGAATACGTTACGGTGCTTGTTTTGTTGCCGCCAACAGGTTTGCGCTGTTGTACTGTTAACTTTCACTGTTGACTGTTTACTTATACCAGATCTGAAAATACGCGAGATGAAGTTTTGGAGAGATCCAGTTAGTTGTATTTGCATCTCGTACTTTGCCTTAGTTAAGCATTTTGATCGCATGGGAACGAGCGGCCGAGGACAGTGTAGCGAACCCAAAAGTTTCAAGTGTTGGAAAGCTACTATCGTCTACTCGACGGAAAAGTGGTTTACTTCAGCTGCACTTCTGATCTAAATGGCGATGCACCAGACCTACCAGTGGAATTGTACGTTTTTGCTTGATTCCAGTCTCGAAAGAGATCGCCTGTACTATTGGGGTGTGACTGTGATGTTGCAATTTGTATGTTTGATGAACCTGTGAGCAGAGCCTTTGCCTAGGCAGACGCTCATCTTGCGTTTGTTGACCTGCACATGAGCAGCAAACATTCTCAGAAAAATACTGCTATTTGCTCAGTCTGATTTTTGATTTGATTGGGAGCTAACAGTGTCCTAAATTAAATTTTCACCTGCGCGTACACGAGACCTAGGCATGCTTTAAAGCCGGACGTGAAATATTTTAGTCGCAATGGGCACAGAATATCCTCTTGTAATTTCAGCTCCCTTGCTCAACTAGTTGGTGAAATTGCTTCTCGTTACAAATATATTTGACATGTCCAAACGCGTTGCATAAACGCACGCTAAAGATTACCTTACACTTACATGCGTATGAACAACAAATATTCTCATAAATCAAGAACACTTCAAACAGCTTAGTTCCCAACTGACATTTTGCCAGTGACGGCCGAAATCTTAGCTTTAATTTATCTGTACATATGACGCAGATGTGCGTTAAAGCAGAATCTGAAATCTTCAGCTCACACAAGGGCATAGAATATTTGGGTGAGATTTCAGCTTCACATCTAATCTAGTTCCCGAAATCATTTTGTCGCCGAAAAATTTGTCCGTTTTCTTGGTGCCAGTACGTGATACCCAAGCGTACATGAACAATAACTATGCGTTTTGTGCTGTGTAACAGCGTTACAAAGGGGTTGTCTGTGTGTGTGTGTTTCTGTGTTTGCTGTGTGTGTGCGTTTCTGTGTTTGTGTGCGTGTCCCACATTTTGTCCCGCACTTTCAACTCGAGAACCACAAAAGCTAGGCGGCTGAAATTTTGGCGTAATGTTCTCCGCCCACGAGTGACGCGGCAGATTTAAATTCAGCCTTCCTGTACCCGCGGGTAACTTGTATGGCCCCGTGAAAGTTTTTTACGGGTAAATTAATATCTCAGGAACCACGGAACTTAGGAGGGTAAAATTTTAGGGTAATGACCTCCTGCTCACGCGCAACCTTGCTCATTCAAATTCAGCCTTCCATTACCCGTGGGCAACACGTACGGCCCCGTGAAAATTTTTTACAGGTAAATAATATCTCAGGAACCACGGAGTCTAGGAGGCTGAAATTTTAGGGTAATGACCTCCTGGCCACGCTCAACCTTGCCCATTCAAATTCAGCCTTCCCGTGCTCTTTAGTATCACCTACGGCCTCGTGAATAAATTTTGGCGGGTAAACTATTAACTCGGGAATCACGGAGAGATATTCACCCTTGAAGTTGCGAATTCAGCTTTCATGCGCTGGTGCGTGAAATTTTTAACTGTTTTCAATGTTTGAACTATTTTTG